TGGTGATTTGGGGGTAAAAATAAATTCTCATTTTGAGATACCGACATTGTGGAAACAAGATCTACTAGGATACCTGAACTCTAAATAACACATTTCAATTCTGTTTGGAAGCTATCTAAGACAACCATCAATATTTACAATAAATGATAAAATGCAGTGTCCACCAGGATAGCACATTTATAGAGGAAAGAGGCCAGTAGTTTACTAGTTAGACCCAGGTGACTTGACCCACAGACTGTAAAAAGTGATCAATACTGGTTTACTCTGTCAAAGAGATAAGAAATTCTTGTTAACTGACCAACCTGGACTTAGAGATAAATCGGCCAGCTCCACTTTAGTCCAATTTCCCAAAGATAATGTATGAATGTTTTAAAACTCTCTTCATATATTAAGGAATAAATTATTATATACAAGAAATCAATTCATATTGTCATGTCCATTGGGTGCATTTTTCCTTTCCCAATGTTAGAATAAACATGCTCAGTAATAAAAAAATCCCAAGCATTTTGGAGATAGGCCTCTGCCTTGTTAGTAGCCATGCCAAGCTGTTCTTTGATTACACAGAATGCAGATTCCAGGCCAGCACAAATGGTAACTAAAGATTGTACCTGACCTGGTGCTAGGCATATGGGGAGGTGTGCTTTGCAAGGAGGAGCTAATACACCCTGGGATAGTGGAAACACACACTAGAATGGAAAGATGTTCTGCTTGGGGATAGAGAGCCAGGATCCTTCTCCAGCAACTGCCTCACTGACTTCTGCCTCCTCATCTCTGTCCTACCCTCTGTTGTGGCTGCTGCTGAGTTGGGCTCCGGTGAGCCATGCTCAGGGGTCCTGCGCACCAGCACCTCCCCCTCTTGCACACGTTTGATCCCTAGGTCAGTGGAGCCGTGTTGGACCGGGGAGCCAGGAATACTCGAGTCAGCCTCGTTTGAGAAGTCAAAGCCATCTGGGATTCAACATATAAAATTTTAGTGCTTTTGTGCTGTTCTATTCTTTTCTGAGCATTTTGCCCCAGGCAGATAAGAGAATGTATATATGGATATGATAAAAACACAAACGCTATTTATATAGTTACATGTGTGTGCACAGCATGCACACACATAAGGAGGCAGATGAACAATATGAGGTTTGCAAATGAATAGGACAGGAAAATAGGGATCATTAAAATGGCAATTAATATCTCTTAGGCAAGACAGCTGGACCATTTAAGTACCATATGCCTATGAAATACTGCTGGATTCAGCACTTACAAAAAAAGGAAAAGCAAAGATAAAAATCTAAAATACAATAACCAACTCTCTATAGATAGCTTGTATTTCACCATTGATTTGGTCAGTTACACAATTTTCTCCCACAATGTTCATACATGCACCTTTTTTCCCATTATAACAGGTTTAAAGAAACTTCTTTCCAATTGTTATTACTAGTTCAAAAATAAGACAAAAATTAACTTGATCTTATTTTCTGTTTTAATGTTCATAGAGCAGTCTAAATAACATCTTTCTACATCATAAAAAATATATATCTATATCAAAATAAATTCAGGCACTTAAACCGCGTTTCCAGTGCTATATTAAAAAACAAAACAATTTTACTTTAATTATATACAGTACTATAATATCATGTGTTAACCTAGTCTATAAAAACAGTGATAAATTTGCTAGAATCCATGAATGGGCTACAGGAATTTTGTACTCACCTTCTCTTCTCCATCTATGACGACGGATTGAAGCTGTTGTAATTGCAGTCCGAGAAATCCTCGGCACTGTTGGAGTGACTTCCACTTTAAGTACTTTCTGGCCTTCTTGTGAAGAGTCAGGAGCATCAAATGGTAATGAGTTTTTCATGGCATTGGCAACCTAAAATGATAATATAAAGCCTACATATATTTACACTCAATATATAATTTATGATTATTTTTTACTTCATGTTTCCATAATTTTATTATGTTTCCATAATTTTTTAAAATTTATTTTATTTAGGGGTGCCTAGGTGGCTCAGTCGGTTGAGTGTCCGACTTTGGCTCAGGTCATGATCTCGCAGTTCATGAGTTCGAGCCCCACATCGGGCTCTATGCTGACAGCTCAGAGCCTGGAGCCTGCTTCAGATTCTGTGTCCCCTTCTCTCTCCGCCCCACCCCTGCTTGTGCTCTGTCTCTGTCTTTCAAAAATTAATAAAATTTATTTTATTTAAAAAATGTTTTTAAGTAGGCTCCATGCCCAGCGTGCAGCTCAATGCAGGGCTTGAACTCAATAACCCTGATATTAAGACATTAGCTGAGATCTAGAGTTGGAAACTTAACCAACTGAGCCACACAGGCACCCCTCTATAATTTTTTGAATATGTATTTAAAACTGGTACTATAAAATATAAAAGTACAATATGTCAAAAGAGTTTGTACCTCCATTGTTCTGTATTGTTTTAGGGAAGCTTTTAAAATGAGAATTTATTTTTAAAAATGTGAGTCATACACTCCACAGATTCCTTAAAGTTGTTCACTTGCAAAGAGAAAAGGCATTCCAAAGAAAGAAAATTGTTTAACATTTGAACCCTGATAAAGAAAATTTAGAGTAGGTTTTTGATTATTCAGATGATAAATAACATGCAAAATTTAATCTCTGATAAAAAAAAATTAGCCTTTTCTCCACTCTGTTACCATAAGGAGAAATTTTGCCTAAACATGGCTGGCATTTTGTTTCACCACTGTGTGTGTGTGTGTGTGTGTGTGTGTGTGTGTGAGAGAGAGAGAGAGAGAGAGAGAGAGAGACAGAGACAGAGAGACAGAGACAGAGACAGAGAGGGAGAGGGACAAAGGAGCGAAAGCGAGTGCAAGCAAGAGGAGGGGCAGAGAGAGAGGAGACAGAGAATGACAGTACGGAGCCTGACACACGTGGCTTGAACCCACGAACCTTAACATCATGCCCTGAGCCAAAATCAAGAGTCACGTGATTAACCAAATGAGCCCCCAGGCTGCCCCAACTGGTGCATGTTTCTTAACTGGGAAGTACTAATTTAGCAAAGATCTTGAGCTAGAGAATTGTTTTTCTCCCTTCCTCTATACTTGGAAAGGACAAGTAAAATGCAGCCTCCTGGACAAGTGTGACAGTTCTGCCAATTCAAACTTCTCCAGGAGGCTATTCCAACATCCAGACTGAGGGGTGGGGAGTTAAGTCTTTAAATTTAGCTTTTATCAGGAATAAAGATGAGGCTTGTTTCTCTGCCAACTATTTTACCTATCATCTGCCTCTAAATTTTAATAGAGAAAAGGAGTGCTGTTTGTTGGGTCCCTCAAAGGTCCCCCCACAACAAAGGATTGCTCTAAGATTAGAGATTACTAATCTCTTTACTTATATTGCCTTGGAAATGCCACCTCTACTTAATTTATAAAACTGCTACAAGGAGAAAAGTATGAATTTAAAGAATATCACAAATGCAGGGTATTATTATTATGAAGTAATTATTTTATCTTCTTATCCATTTATTTTAATGTGACCCTTAGGGTAAAATTAGGCATGTTGACCTGAGAGAAAAAAAAATAAATTCAAATAGTAAATAATTATTATAAATGCTACCTCAATAAATTTATATTTGTATTAAGATATTAAAAAATGGTACAAAGAAAACAGCTTTAGAAATTGTGCTCTTGGTGTACCTGGGTGGCTCAGTCGTTTAAGCGTCCGACTTCGGTTTAGGTCATGATCTGTGAGTCAATCCCGCGTCAGGCTCTGTGCTGACAGCTCAGAGCCTGGAGCCTGTTTCAGATTCTGTGTCTCCCTCTCTCTCTGACCCTACCCTGCTCGTGTTCTGTCTCTCTTGCTCTCAAAAATAAATAAAACATAAAAAAATTTTTTTTAATTGTGCTCTTAAAGTGTTACAAGTAAAAAACCACAAATAATACTTAAAAAAATTTTTTTTAACATTTATTTTATTTTTGAGAGACAGAGAGAGAGCATGAGCATGGGAGAAGCAGAGAGAGAGGAAGATACAGAATCCCAAGCAGGCCTCAGGCCCTGAGCTGTCAGCACAGACGCAGGGCTCAAACTCATGAACCACAAAACCATGACCTGAACCAAAGTCGGACGCTTAACTGACTGAGCCACCAAGGCGCCTCCACAAGTAATATTCTTAAAATACCATCATAATACTACAAAAAGCCCAGAAAACACAGAAATTTGCAAAGAAAAACCATCCACAGTTGAATCACCTGATGACCATTAGATTTGTATGTTGCCTCTGTCTTGTCTAGATTTAAAAAAAACAGTTGTACACTGCCTGACTGACCACTTACACAAGCTAGCATTTTCTTTAGCATAAATTTTTGAATATAAAATTTTTTTTTCAGTGTTTATTTTTGAGAGAGGGGAAACAGCATGAGCAGGGGAGGGGCAGAGAGAGAGGGAGACAGAAAATCCCAAGCAGACTCTGTGCTATCAGTGCAAAGCCCGATATTGGGCTCGAACCTATGAAATGTGAGATCAAGACCTGAGCCAAAGTCGGATGCTCAACTGACTGAGCCACCCAGGTGCCCCTTGCATATATAAAAACTTAATCATACTCTGCTGTGAAACATCTTTTTTAATTAAGAATTTTTTAAGTTTATTTAATTTGAAAGAGAGAGCAAGCATGCACACACATGTACATGTACAAGCAGGGAGTGGCAGAGAGACAGAGAACCCCAAGCAGCCTCCACATTTTCAGCACAGAGTCGAAAGCAGGGCTCAATCTCACAACCATGAGATCATGACCTGAGCCGAAATCAAGAATCAGATGCTTATTAACCGACTGAGCCACCCAGGTGCCCCAAAACATTTATTGTTTTGATTCCTCTGAGATTAAAAATAACACTAATGTTTGGATATTATACATTTTATAATACATTAAAAAAATTCAAAGTAGTTCTGGGATGTTGTGCTAGATATGAGGTAGTGGGTTAAAGAAAACACACATGACTGAACTACTTCTATAAGGGGAGGTTCGGAATTGCGTTATACTGCTACTGGTAAAGGGAAGAATGCCTTCCTTACTCCACTACTACATGTTCGCATTTGCTTTTTGATCGACCATTTACCTTTTGGAAATATATTTATTTTGTGGGAGAGTATGAAATCTTTTTATAGAGAACAAAATATTAATTGGCTTTCTTGTCATGCTTGTTGAGAATCTTTTTCTCAGTTTGTACAATACATATTAACTTTGTTTTTAAAAAACTGGTGGTTTAGAATTTAGATGCTTATGTGGTCAAAAACTAAAACAAAACCCAACCTATTTTGAGGGACTTGTCCCATCTCTTAAGCTTAGAAAATCCTTCCAACTCTAGAAATTTTAGTATTTCTAACCTTTTCCTCTTTCTTTTCTTAAAGGATTTCAAAACATTTGATTCTTAATTTATCTGAACTTTATTTTGATATGTGGTAGAAGACGATCCAAATAAATTTTGTTTTCTCTCCAAAAGTTAACCAAATGTTACAGAATAAACCTTTTCCCCTCTATGATTTAGATTGCCTCATATCTTATATACTGAATATCTTTATTCACTAGTGCCCCTTTCAGGCATAGGTATGTTTAATAAAAAGTAAATATAATAACTTACCAATAGTGGTTGAGAAAAAAGTTCTAGCTGAGCTCTATAAATGATGTCATCAAGGACTTCTTGGCCAAGGTCCCACTGCCCATTATACCTGTGGAGAAGCAGATTGTTTACTATCTTTAGCAAGTATCTCTAATCTTCAACAACATTTTTATTGTTCCAAGTCCTACTATTTTGGTTCTAAAACAAGTTTTCACATTAATATTTGTATCATCTCATTTCCAAACTGTCTTACTTTTGGTTACAAGTACAAAATGAAGATTTTTGAAATCTAATGTTTATCTACTAATGTTTAAAATAGTTTACAGATGTCTTTTCACATAATTGGCTTTTATCATGTGTTGATATTTAGGGTAATCTACTGAAATGCATTTATGAAAACTTAGGTTATGAACTATGTAGATAGACATAGTTTTCCAGAAAGAAAGCCTGACCTACTTCCAGACTCTAATTTAATGACTAGTTATATTTTGGCTATTTAAAAAGTACTAAAAGGACTACTATGAACAATTATACACCAACAAACTGGACAACCTAGAAGAAGGATAAATTCCTAAAAACACACAGACTACAAGGACTGAATCATGAAGAAACAGAAAATTTGAACAGACCAACTACTGGTAAGGAAATCGAAGCACTAATCAAAACCCTGCTAACAAACAGAAGTCCAGGACCAGGTGGCTTCACAGGTGAATTCTACCAAACATTTAAAGAAAAATTAATACCAATTCTTCTCAAACTCTTCCGAACAACAGGAGAGAATACTTCCATATTCATTTTAGAAGGCCAGCATTACTCTGATACCAAAACCAGACAAGAACACTACCAGAAAAGAAAATTACAGGCCAATATCCCTGATGAACATAGATGAACAAAAAAATTCTCAACAAAATATTAGCAAACCAAATTCAACAATATATTAAAAGGATCATGTATCATGATCAAGTGGGATTCATCCCTTGGTGCAAATATGGCTCAAAATCTGCAATTCAATCAATATGATACACCATATTAAAAAAATGAAGGATAAAAATCATATGATCATTTCAATAGGTGCAAAAAAAACCATTTGACAAAATTTAACATCCATTCATGATAAAAACTCAACAACGTGAGTGTACAGGGGACACACCTTGACAATAACAAAAGGCATATATGACAAGCCTACAGCTAACATCATACTCAATGGTGAAAAACTCAAGGCTTTTTCTCTAAGATCAGGAACAAGACAAGGATCCTACTCTTGCCACTTTTATTCAACATAGTACTAGAAATTCTAGCCATAGCAATTGGGCAAGAAAAAGAAATTAAAGGATCCAAAATCAGAAAAGAGTAAAACTGTCTTTATTTGCAGATAACACGGTATTTATACAAAACTCTAACAATGTCACTAAAAACATTATTAGAATAAGTGAATTCAATAAAGTTGTAGGATACAAAAATCAGTATTTAAAATCTGTTGCACTTATATTCACTAATAATGGACTATAAGAACGTGAAATTGAGAAAAAAATTCCATTTATAATTGCATTAAAATAGTACCTAGGAATAAATTTAACAAGAAAATGAAAGACCTATATACTGTACACTTAAATTTTTATATAAGACACAGATGAAAGAAATAGAAAAACACAAATGGAAAGATATTGCATGCTCATGGATTAGAAGAATTAATATTGTTAAAATGTCCATACAATCCAAAGCAATCTACAGATTAAGGGTAATCCCCATCAAAACTTCAATGATATTTTCCACAAAAATAGAAATAATCCTAAAATTTGTATGGAAACACAAAAGACCCCGAATAGCCAAAACAATCTTGAAAAAAAAAAAGACCACAGCTGGAGGCATCACACTTCCTGATTTTTTTTTTTTAAAATTTTTTTTTTCAACGTTTATTTATTTTTGGAACAGAGAGAGACAGAGCATGAACGGGTGAGGGGCAGAGAGAGAGGGAGACACAGAATCGGAAACAGGCTCCAGGCTCTGAGCCATCAGCCCAGAGCCCGACGCGGGGCTCGAACTCACGGACCGCGAGATCGTGACCTGGCTGAAGTCGGACGCTTAACCGACTGCGCCACCCAGGCGCCCCACACTTCCTGATTTCTAACTAGACTGCAAAACTATAGTAATTAAAACAGTGTGGGTACTGGCATATATAACGTACATAGATCAATGGAAACAGAAGAGAGCCACGAAATAAACTTGGGCATGTGTTGTCAATTGATTTATAACAAAGAGCCAAGATTATACAACAGGGAAAGGAAAGTCTCTTCAATAAATGGTGCTGGCAAAACTGAGCAATGACATGCAAAACAATGAAACTGGACCCCCATCTTACATCAACACAAAAATCAAATCAAAATGGATTAAAACCTAAATGTGAGACCTGAAACCATAAAAACTCCTAGAAGAAAACATAGGCAGCAATTTCTTTGACATCTGCCTTGGCAACATTTTTTTTTTCTTTAGATATGTCCTCATTGGCAAGGGAGACAAAAGCAAAAATAAACTATTGAAACTACACCAAAATAAAAGCTTTTGCAAAGGAAACCACCAAGAAAATGAAAAGGCAATCTACTAAATGGGAAAAGGTATTTGCAATGATATATCCAATAATGGGTTAATATCCAAAATATATAAAGAACTTAACAATTCACCATTAAAAAAAACAAATAATCTGGTTAAAAAATGGGCAGAGGAAGCAGTCAGTTAAGCATCTGACTTCAGCTCCGGTCATGATCTTGCAGTCTGTGAGTTCGAGCCCCGCATCGGGCTCTGTACTGACAGCTAAGTGCATGGAGCCTGCCTGCTTCGGATTCTTTGTCTCCCTCTCTCTCCACCCGTCCCCCACTCATGCTTTGTCCCTCCACGAAAAATGAATAAACCTTAAAAAAAAAAATTTTTTTTAAATGGGCAGAGGACCTGAATAGATATTTTTCCAAAGAACACATACAGATGGCCAACAGGTACATGAAAAGTACTTAAAATCACCAATCATCAGGGAAATGCAAATCAAAACCATTAGATATCACCTTGTACCTGCAAGAATGGCTATTCCCAAAAAGACAATATTGAAATAAGTGTTGCCAAGGATGTGGAGAGAGGAAATCCTGTGCATTATTGATGAAAATGTAAACTGGTGCAGCAACAGTATGGCAATCAGTATGGAGGTTCATCAAAAAATTAAAAATAAAACTACCATATGATCTAGCAGTTCCACTTCTGGTACATATCTAAAGGAAACAAAATCACTGAACTCGAAAAGACATCTCCACTCCCATTCACTGCAGCATTATTTACAAAAGCAAGACATGGAAACAATCTAGTGTTCACTGACAGATGAGTGGGTAAAGAAAATAGAAAATATGGTGTACACACACACACACATGGGGCGGGGCAATAAATATTACTCAACCATAAAAAAGCAAAAAAATCCTGCTATCTGCAACAACATGGACAGATCTCGAGGGCAAATCTGTAACTAGGTGTAGTGACAGATGTTAACTAAACTTACTGAGGTAATCATTTCACAATATAAAATATATTGAATCATTGGGTTGTGCATCTAAAATTAATAAATCTTATATTTCAATTGCATCTCAATTAAAAATTGTCTTTGATCATTATTATTAATCATTGTTATTTAAATAACAAGTGTACAATTCATTTTTAAAAAGTACTATAAGGAATTCATATTAGAAAGAGAAGATAATGGGTCCTTCATGGAATAAGAGTCAGTATTGTACAACTGATAAGGACAAAAGAGAAATATTAAGCTTCCAAACATTAGGAACAATTCACTGAGTTTTATAGTCTATCTACTTACATGGCATAATAAACCCCTGTGAGGAGTTGCACCATGAATTCGGGATCCAATACTATTCGACCACAGAGTTCTTTCCAGTGTTTTTCATGTTGCCGTGGAAACCCACTCACACAAACCCTAGGAAAAGATGGAATTTGCCATGTATGATTTCTTGATTCATTAAACATTTTTCCTTCCATAAATTCACTTATTCAATTATTCATCCCTCTTATATTTACTGAGTACCTGCTATGTGCCAGTCACTGTCCTGGGCCTACGCATACAGTTATGAATAGACAAAAAGATAAAAATAAAATCTGTGCCCTCATGAAGCATACATTCTAGAGAACCGTCTCAATAAAAGCAACAAGTTTTCTCAAATAGCTAACTATCTCTGTCGTCCTTCTCCTTCTTTACAAAACAAATGTATAATTCTTACATGTCCCAAATTGTATCAGGATGAATTAGTGGGAGATACAGAAATTTCAAAACAAATTAAGGGACATTTCAAAATACTGATGTTTGTGAGGGCTTTTTATTTTCTTTTATTTTTACGTAATCTCTACACCCAACATGGGGCTAGAACTCACAACCCTGAGATCAATAGTCACACGCTGTACCCACTAAGTCAGCCAGGTGCTCTATGAGGCCATTTTTTAATTAAAGTGCCATAAATAAGCTTCTGTCTTCATCTCATTAAGAAATGCTTCCAGAAAAGTTATGCTGAATAATTATCAAAGTTGTAATGTACTTATATTATTTTAATCAATTAGTTTGTTAGAATAATTATAATGGTGAGTCCAGAAGAAATTTTTCAGTGTTTAGTGCATTACAGTCTCGGGAAATTTTTTTTAAATCTCAATTTACACATATATTTTTGTAGCAGAGATATACAATTAAGAGATCAATTAAAGACTTATAAGCATAGGGATGCCTGGCTGGCTCAGCTGGTGGAGCATGTGACTCTTGATCTTAGGGTTCTGAGTTCAAACCCCATGCTGGGTGTGGAGCCTGCTTAAAAAAAAAGTACAAAACAAAACCTACAATGGTTAAATTAAAAAAAAAAAAAAAAAGACTTGTAAACATAGTATGGCATTATATTAGTATAAAATTATGTGGGCAAAGTAGTAGGGAAGATCAATTTCAAGGAGGAAAAGAAATAATGTTAGATTATTAAAAGCTTGTTCATCTATTCCTCAAATGGATTATGGTGGGTATTTACATTATAAACATTTAAAATACTGACCTAACAATTATTTGGTTTATTTTGTGAATATGTACATGCCAGAAATCATACCATTTGCAACTATTTAAGATAAAATGAAAAATTTTAATGTTAACTTAAGACGTGTAACAGCTACACAGTGTGTCAAAATTTTTTAGGGGATATATGAACAAAAGTGTGAGGACCACTAAATTCTGCCATCATTTTTGCTCTTAAGAAACTCTGTTAATAAAGTGCCACAAAAATTACAGATTTGGCAGAATTGTTTTCATGAATCAATGATAGGTCGCTTATAAATATTTTAAAAAATGTTTTTTTAATGTTTATTTATTTTTGAGAGAGAGAGAGAGAGAGAGACAGAGCATGAGTGGGGGAGAGGAAGACAGAGAGGGAGACACAGGATCCGAAGCAGGCTCCAGGCTCTGAGCTGTCAGCACAGAGCCTGACGCGGGGCTCAAGCCCACAAACCACAAAATCATGACCAGAGCCAAAGTCAGATGCTTAACCGACTGAGCCACCTAGGCACCCCTATAAATAAATTTATCTGTAGATAGGCAATAAGTACTTAAACAGTATACTCTCTTGATAACAGTATCTAGGTTAGAGACAAGAATTTTGTTAGTCATTAATCATATTACAGGCAAGTGAAAATAATACAGCTATTTTAAGAGAATCTATAAAATCAAACTTGTAGCTAATTAGATTCATTTTTCCCCAATTAGCAAAACAATTTTGTTGTAAATAGGACCACACTCTCTTCCCACTAACACAACAGTATGAACTTGAGCAAAACATTTGGGAGTGGACAGTCTCTTGTAGGGCCATGAATCCCTGTATGATCCCTCCCTTGCTGGTATTCACACCCTATATATCACCTACTATTGAGTGTGGGTGGGATCTGTGATTTGCTTCCAACCAATAGGATATGGCAAAGGTGATGGGATTTCTGTGACTACATGTATGTGATTATTTTATATAACAAGGCTGCATGTAGGTCTCGCTGGAGTCTCTCTCCGCTTTGAAGAAGCAAGCTACCGTTTTGTAGGCTGCCTATGTAGAGAAGACTACGTGGCAAAGAACTAGGCTGGCCTTTAGCAGTCAGCCAACAAGAAGCTGAAGCCCTCAGTCCTACAACTATAAGAACAGAATTCTGCCAATAAAAGTGTACAATACCTCAGTTGAGCCTCAGATAAAACTGTACCTTCAGCTGACATATTAAACACAGCTTTCTAAGACCCTAAGCAGAGGACCCAGCTAATGCATGCCTAGACTCCTGACTTACAGAAACTGTGAAATAATAAATGTGTGCTATTTTAGCTGTTACGTTCATAGTACATGGCAATTTGTTACAAGGCAATAGAAAACTAATAGAGTAAAACCTTGGATTGCGAGTAACATGTTCTGCAAGTGTTCCACAAGACAAGCAAACATTTCTAATAAAATCTTAACTTGGTAAATGAGTGATGTCTTGCAATACGAGTAGTACGTGATACCAGATGTCACATGATCACAACTGAGCCAAGGGTTCTTCTCTCTCTCTTGCTGTGGAATTGTGGGCGGGTGACTGTCTTGACGCTCAGATGCTTGGTCTCAGGCTGCAGTGTTTGGCAGAAATTAGTGATTTTTCAGAACGCTGGAAGGTGCCCACAACTGGCACTAGTGTGTTTTTTGTCACTTCAAAACACCTGTGGACAGTCCTTTGCTTTTCCACACAAGAGTAAGCTTACGAATGCTTTGCTTCCTTCTAGGTCAGGCCGTCTACAGATATAGACCTTCTCCTCTGCTGCCCTACTGCCAGTTACATTAAATACAGTATATGACAAGAGTTTATTAATACTGTACTGTAGTCAACATGTACACAACACAACATAAATACAATGGGCCCCATGCAGAAAAAGATTCCACTGAGTCAATAGACAGCAGCGATTCCATTAGTGATAGTAAAAGTCATCCTCTCCTCTCTCGTCTCACTCACACTAGCCACAAAGGTTTTCAAAGGTAAGTGCAGGTTAATTTACTTTTCTTTATATTTTGTATTTTCTTTATTATTTTGTTTTATATTACAGTACTGTAATCACTTTTATCTGAATATTTTTGGGTTGTGGAATGAATCATCTGAGTTTTCATTATTTCTCATGGGGAAATTTGCTTTGATATGCAAGTGCTTTGGATTACAAGCATGTTTCTGGAATGAATTATGCTCCCAAACCAAGGTTTTACTGTAGAGCATTTAACCTTTTTCAGGGGACTCAGTTTCCTCAAGTAAAAAGAGAGATACCTGGGTGGCTCAGCTGGCTGAGTGTCTGACTTCAGCTCAGGTCATGATCTCACGGTTTGTGGGTTCAGGCCCCACATGAGGCTTTGTGCTGACAGCTCAGAGCCTGGAGGCTACCTTGGATTCTGTGTCTCCCTCCCCTATTCTCTGCCCTCCCCTATTCTCTGCCCCTCCCCTATTCACGTTCTCTCAAAAATAAATAAACATTTTTTAAAAATTTAAAAAATCAGTTGGACAGAATGAACTCAGGGTTCTTTTTATAATTGAAATTCTGTGACTCAAAAGGTACTCTGACTCCAAACTAACTTATATTAAATTTTTTTTCTATACTGGACATTTAAATTTCAGCTCAGCTGAACTCAAATTATTAGAAATTCTGAATTAGTGAAGACTGGAACACACAAATACAAATGAGACATATAAATGATTAATGCTATTGCTAATTTTATTCAAAGCACAGTTATTGTGAAATATATAAATGAAAAACTTCACATTCCTTCAGACTTTCTCCACATATAGGACTATTATTCAAAGCTCTCAAAGGGATTTATAAAACTGGGCATCCAGTCAGGTGATTAGGTGTATTACTAAGTGATTAGTTATTAGTGATTAGGTGTATTACTAAGCCAAACTAAATTTAAGACATCTTGGCTTGACTTGATGTTCAGCTAGAAACTACTTCTTTAATGCTAAAATACTTTTAAGAAGTCATGATACGTGAGGGATGATAAGAATTCCTACAGGAATGTAAGCTCCTTGAGTTTTGTTTACTGCTATATTACCAAAAATTAGAACAGCACCTACTACAGAAAATGCGTTCAATAAATATTTGTCAAATAAATGAATATGAAGGCTAATGATAATTATTATTCTCACCTGGAGCCCATCCGACAAAGAGACTGGTAAGATGAAGCAGGCATATACACAATAGCAGAATTATAACACAACATGAGAAAACTCAGGACTTCAAACCTAGAAAAAATAAACAAAGGAAAAGGATTACAAACAATTATTTCTACCAGAGACTACAGTAAGTCATTTCTTTGGTGGTTGTTTATAACAAGAATGTGTTAATATTGACCGTCATGATTTTTCAATCAGATTGCTGTGATATCCTCCTCAATGATTTCCCTGTTTTCATCTTCCTTATTAATTGCTACCATCTATATTTTCCTCCTCCAAAAATAAGCCATCATGCTTAAACAGATGACTCCCCTATCACATTAACCCACTGTTCCTATTGACTGCATGATAAAATCCAAACCAATCATGACACAAAAGGCCTTTAAAATCCACCCTCAAAACCTACCTCTCCAACCTTACTTCCCTCCACTGCTTACCTCGTATACCACACTACATCAATCTTCCTACCACTCCATGATTACATCATAACTTTTTGTAACTCCTTGCTTTTATAGAGGCTGCTCTTTCTTACTAGAACATACTTTTTCACTTGGGTAATTACTGCTTAAGTTTCAAATGTTGGTTCAAATTTTTACCTTAGATATAAAGCCATTCTTAATTCTCCCAGCTAAAGGAAACAGTTCTCTTTGTTTTGTAGCTCTAATACAGCACAGTGAATCTTAATTGCTGGTGTTTAGCTACGTAGTACCTATTTACTAATAAGCAACTTTAGTTTACTCATTTAGTTTATCATTCCTAGGTCTAGTATCCAACATTGTCTAATATGTTATAATTGCTCAAAAACGTTTATTTTAAATTTATAAAGAATTTTATTGAATGAATAAATATTTCTTAATTTTTAAAGTCTCTAAGAAAGTGGCTCCTTAATCTGGATGCACACTACTGTTATTTAAGGACATTCTGGAATGATATATTCTGGTGCATCAACCCAGACTGACCCAATTAGAATCTATGAGGGCATGATCCAAGAAAGTTGTACTTCTAAAAAGCTTCTTATAGGTGGTAAAGAGTATATAGAAACTCTTTGTACTATTTTTGAGATATTTTCTGTAAAAAAAAAAAAAAGTCTGAAATTATTTCAAAAGAAAAAGTTAAAAACTGAGTTGAAAGTCTGACTTGGAAGCAGTCATATCTTCAGATTCCTTCTCCATCTCAATAGTTAGGTTTATTGAAGACTTACTTTTCTAAAGGATTAAAGAAAATTCTATGTGGGCGCCACATGGGTGGTTCAGTGGGTTAGGCATCTCACTCTTGATTTCAGCTCAAGTCATGACCTCATGGGTGGGATTGAGCCCTGCAACGGGCTCTATGCCGACAGTGCAGAGCCTGCTTGGGATTCTCTTTCTCCCTCTCTCTCTCAAAATAAATAAATAAACTTAAAAAAAAAAAATAAAAGAAAAAAAGAAGAGAAGGAAGGAAGGAAGGAAGGAAGGAAGGAAGGAAGGAAG